GGATGTGGTTATGTAGCTGTACCTGATGTAAACAAACCCCAGCCGCCTGTAATACGGTACCGGTGGTAGATAGGGGCAGTGGTAGGGTGAATGACCCCAATTAGCCGTCGGTAAACTGTGAATCGTGATAATTGGGGGAGGGAGGGTTTACGGGTGGGGCAGCCCGCCGGACAGTAAGCTGACAAAATGCAGGCAAACACATAAGACGGTCTCTGGCAAAATGATAAAAGGATGAACGCATACAGATTCGGTGTCCAGCTGGATATTCCATGGGGTCCCATCTTGAAGTAGTGCCTGACTATCGAACAGCTGGAAAGCATATCTCTTATCCCTAAGTTCACGCTCGATTGATCTCCGTCTCTTGTTTCCTCTATTTTGGGTGCAGTTGTCAGTCATTAGTGGTTGACTAGATTTCGCAAGTAAATACATCAGCATACGACGGTTAACTGGGGTCCTTCATCCTGCCATTGCCAAAATAAGGTAAAAAACGGAGTTTTCAGATCCAAGTCATATGACGCCGTTACAGGTGTGTTGATGATTGCTGCTGACTTGTAGAAGACCAACCGGGACCCTTCAAACAGTCAACCTGCCCAAGAAAAGGGTAGTAGTGTCAACCACTCCCAAAGTTAAATGCTGAGACTCCTTCACTTCTGACAACACGTTTTGTCAATAGAAGCGAAGAGACGAGTCCCAGGAAGCAGTCTTGAAGAAGGAGACACTATCGCTGGGGCAAGAGTGCTATCAGCCTGACGTTTCGGATTCCTGCTCGAACCCATCGCAGAGACAAAAGCAGATACGGGTGGTTCATGCACAAGGGGTTGCAGTATTTATAGGATGCAGTCGCCATGCTACCGCATACCTATGAGCATTCACGGCTCCCCCCTTCATCAGGGAACGTTGAACCTGGCGTGATGGCCGACATTCGCGTCGTTGTAGGGACGCACTATCGGCGTGTCGAAACGCACTGCAGTGAGCCGGAAGACAAGATTGCCGAACAACAATACCTCCGACGGGTCTTTAAAGCCAATGGCTACCCGCGCAACTTTGTCAACCGGTGCATACGCAAAAGGGACGAAAGGCCTAACCGCACGGACACCAAATCTTGGCGAGCGCCTCCATATGTCAAGAACGTTTCGGAAGCTGTTGGCCGCTTTCTCGCACCACTTGGGGTTGGAGTTGCACACAGGCCGGAGGCAACCATCAAGCGTCAGTTGATGAAACCAAAAGATCCACTGCCGCGGCAAGAAACGTCTGGAGTCGTTTATCGGATCTGATGCGGTTGCGGACAAAGCAACTACGTCGAAGAAACCGGAAGACAGCTCCGAACGCGAATAGCCGAACACGCTGCAGCGGTACGGAGAAATGACGCTAGCTCTCAAGTTGTGGCTCCGGCCACACATTGAAATTTAACGAGGCCGAAATTCTCGCAAGAGGTGATAACCGCGTGAGCTGGGAGCTGCTTGAGTCATGGTTTACTGGTTCCCAGTCTATTAACAAGTGCAATGATCTTCCCATTCAATACACCGTGCTGAGACTTCGTCTAGGCGGAGTAATTGGCCACGCGGGGAGCGCACTGGTGAACACTTTTCCCAACACCAGGGTCAGCGCGTCAGATGGTCGAGCAATCATCACGTCAACATCCAACTCACGTGATGAGATTGCAGCAATTAACTACGCGAATGTCGGCCATCACACCACACGCAGCGATCCCTGATGAAGGGGGGAGCGTGAATATTCATAGGTATGCCGCAGCATGGCGACTGCATCCCATAAATACTGCAGACCATTTTGCATGAACCACCCGTATCTGCTTTTGTCTCTGACGGTGGATTCGAGCAGGAATCCGAATTGTCAGGCTAATAAAGCTCTTATCACAACGATCGTGTCTCTTTCTTCAACACATTTTGTCCTTGGCATGCCTTGAGGAGGGTGGTACGCAGACGAGGCCAGTGTGTTCGTTATCAAGGCACCCAAGTGAATACCTTTCACTCAGAATTGCTCCCAGAAGGGAATTATAGGAAGACAGTAAACAACTACTCCTGAAATCTGCCAAAACACTTCTGAGTTATTAAATGAGTCATGGCCTTTCTTTAAAAGAAAACATTGTCGGATGTGGTTATGTAGCCGCACCTGAGGTAAGCAAACCCCAGCCACGGGACCGGTGGTAATAGGAGTTTTTACAGGTGGGGCCGGCGAACGCACAGGCGGCGAGGTCGCGTAATTGTACGCAAAAGAAAAGCTATTGGTAGTGCGCGGTCGTACCTTCAGTGGTTAAGAAATAGTTGCCCTAACCCCTGACCCTAACCCCTAACCCCAACCCCCTAACCACTAACACTTAATCGCAGTCCTAAGCCCTAACTTTGAAAGAGGCAAAGCGAAAGTTAGAAGGAGACGACAGGCCAAAGGTAAAGAAGGACCATTGGCATTGGGCCAAAAAGGTAGACACGACAACAAAGAAACAAGGCCGCCAACAGAACACACACCGCAACGCACAGCAACACCATGCCAACGTAATCCCACCAACTAATTAAGTACGCCAACAGTCTTCTGTCCATCAGATGCGGCTACATAACCACATCTTACCGAAAACATTGGAAACTTCAGTTTCTGTAATTCCTGAGTTGTATACTGAAACGTAGCATCGCCTACACTTTTTGTAAAGGAACGATGATATTTTGCGCAGCAGTAATACCAGAAGTAGAATACGCCTTCCCAAATACAGCTCTAATGTGACGTTAGTATGCAGGATTCGTCAGAATGCGCAGTAATTCTCGACGGAAAACAGGATACAGTAGGTACTTCTAAACTAGCTCGTTATTATACAAGGAATTTAGACCTAGGTGTCCAGCCTCCGATCAAGAGTGCCAGTAAATTTAGGCAAATATGCGCGTCCTAGGTTCATGTTGACAAGAGGACGAAGACGCCATCACTGAGACGGCAGGTTCAGTAGTCTGGGCTTCCGAACAGGAGGGCGGCATAGGAGGCTGCAGCCAAGAGTGAACACTTTCTGTAGTCGACCTCTGGGCGGTGGGGGTGGGGTGGAAGGGGGGGTAGGGTCCGTGACCGTGTCGCCCGCTCATAGTAGTCTCGCCGCATGGTGACGGCGTGCGTGTTTGGCTGCGTGGGCGTAGGGCGTGACAGTAAATCAGTGTGTCTGTTGATGGAGGTGGTGTAAGACACCTCCAACGCTTCCCGCCCCGTCTTGCTGCCGGCTCGCGCCAGTCTCTGCGTGCTCGCAAAGTCTAACTCATGGTCCACATCCAGCGTTTGAACCAGTGGCTCCTTTCTACGAAAGGCGCTTTTGTGTTCCAGTATTGACGAGCCAAGGCGTCGTCCCATCTGACCTGCATAATGGAAAGGACAGTACCGGCACAGAATTTGGTAAACTAAGCCTGATTGCTCACCTGCGTCCTTTATATGCATGCGCCTAGTGCGTATGGTAGCTACCGGAGGCTGGATGATGCCCACGCCCACGGAATGCGTGGACACATTCGTTAGGCACGGCAGCGAGTACCAAATTGGTGGCTTCTCGCTCCCGTGCGTCCGTCGTGAGCGCGTACGCATGCAGCGACGGATGAGGTTCTTTGTGTAAACGTTCCTTGTCGGTTGGCCCCTGAGATACCGAAGTGCTTGTACTCTCTCCCCCCCCCCCTCCGGGTTCGCTACAATACGATTTTACTCTTTCGAAGAGCGCATCGCAGAAGCCCTGGCCGAGAGTGAGACCCTGGCTACCACAACCTTTTAGGCTCCGTCCGGAATAGAAGAAGATGGACGTCAGTTGGGAAGATGGTATATTCTGTACAGATTCGAGGGAGTTAGTAGCCAGAGGAAAGTGCCTCCGGTGTCGCTAGAACGGCGTCCCACCAAAGCGTCTTAAGACAGAGCACGTCTGGATTCGGCCTTGAATCTGATTGGGAAGCCCAGTGGGCGAATGCCAGACATCTCTGGTGAACAGGTGCAGACACTCATGAGAGGCCCAGCTTTGCGTCTGACGCCCCGAGTAGGGTAATTAAAACCCTGATGATGCCAATGGATTTCAACATTAATATTCCTAAGGGCACGGGAGAAGGAAACCCCCTACATATAGGAAGGATTAACGTTAGGGTAGGAGGCATTGTCAGGGTTTGGAGGAGGCGAAGAGATCCATGCTCCTCTGCATGTCCCCTTCTGAGGTGGTGTTGAGGGCACAGTCGTCGGCGAAGAGAAGTTCATGAACGGCAGTTGTGGAGACCCGCGACTGGAAGTGCATCCGTCGGTGGTTGAGGAGTTGACCGTCCGTCCTGTAGGCGATGCGGATCCCGGAGCGTTCATCACGGTAGGCGTCCATCAGCATGACAGAGAACATGAGACTGAAGAGGGTAGGCACCAGCACACAGCCCTGCTTCACTCCATTGGCCACTGCGAATGTCTCTGAGACAGCTCCGTTGTCCGTGACTCGCTCCTTCATGCCGACATGGAGCTGACAGACCATCTGAGTGAATCGCTCCGGACAGCCGAATTTCTACCTGATCCTCCACAGTCCTTCACGATTTACCGTATCGATGGCTTTCGCCAAATCCACGAAGGTAGAATAGAGGTGGGTCGCATCTCCTGACACTTCTCCTGCAGTTGGCGGGCGGCGAGGATCATGTTTGTGGTCCCACGATGACGGCAGAAGCCGCATTGGCTTTCCAGCAGGAGGCGGTTGTTCAGACCGTTGAGGAGAATGCAAGCAAAGATTTTCCCGACGATGTTCAGCGAGGCGACGCTTTGATGATTGTCGCAGATTTGGCGGTTTCGTTTCCGTTTGTACAGATACACCACTGTGGCATCCATGAAATCCTGAGGGACTTCTCCTGGAAGAGCGCAGTCAGCTGATCCATTAGTTGGGGACCACCGTGCTGGTAGATCTCAGCAGGCATCGCGTCCGAGCCGGACGCTTTCCCGCTGGAGAGCTGCTGCATGGCCCTGGTGGTTTCCTGGAGAGAGGGTGGGAGGTCGAGATCGACGCTGTTTTCCACTTACGACAGACGGGCATTGGCGGCATCGGAGATGGTAGAGGGGCGGTTGAGGACGCCTCGGAAATGCTCGGCCCATCGCTGTAGAATTGGTGCCTTTTCGGTGAGTAGAGTGCTTCCGTCGGAGCTGAGGTGGGGTGGAGTGCCTCTGGTTGGCGGACCGTAGATAGTTTGGATCGCGGAGAAGAAGTTATTCCATTTGTTGCGGTCCGCGTACCCTTGGATCTCCTCTGCCTTGCGAGCCGTCCAAGGGCTCCGCATCTCGCGGGACCGCTGTTTAACAAGGCGGCTACTACGGTCGAAAGCAAATCTGTTGTCATCGGTGGGACGGTCGACGTAGGCTTTGTGTAGGTGGTTGCTCTCGGCGAGTAGGTTTCTGATGGCAGCGTCGTCGTCGTCGTCGTCGTCGTCGAACCAGTCCTGGTGTTGACGACGTGCACGACCGAGGACGGCTAGCGCCGTCGACTGGATCGTGTCCCGCAGTTGACACCACCGGTTCTCCAGGGAGGCGTTCTTGTCGGCGTCGGCGACGGCGACGACATCAGCCACTGGTAGGTTGTCTAGCCGCTGAAATGGAGATGCTGAGCAATATTCAGCTTACCTGGAGGTCACTGAACTTGTGGTCTCCTGTGAGGCTTTAGACGTATCCGCATCTTGGAGATGACGAGATGATGGTCGGTCCAACCGTCGGCACCTTTGTCACCAGCACGTCCCGCTGGTCTAGACTCCGGACGAGTAATTAGTCCAGCGGGTGTAGTCGATACCCACCTCCTCCATTGGACCTTGTCGAGAGAACCGGATCTCGCTGAGAGTGCAACGATGTCCATCTCGTAGCGCGCCAGTTCCCGATACACTATCGCCGTCCTCCGTTCCGGTCGATTGCTCCTTGGATTATCTTGAAGGGAACTAGCATTCCAGGCTGGCAGAGTGAGCGGACTCACCCTACCAGTCTGGCGATTGGGGTGGCGGGAAGGCGTAGGAGGAGGAACAGAGAAAAAATGTTCTTCCCTGTTGGCTGTTTTGGCCGTGAATTTAACGTCTGCTAGCACGGTCAGCCTGCAGACGGCGTGGTTCCCCAGCATTTGTTTAGGTCACATTTTCCAGCCCCTTTCCGCTGTAGGGGAGAGCAGTGCCACCCTAAATAGAGCCGCTCAGTTGGTTCAAGCGCTGCCGAACTCCAAGATATGTTACGGCCCGAGTTAGCCTGGGGCAGCCTACGACATCGCCATAAGCTTGTGACCTCCCGCGGTGGTCCAGACTGAGCCTCGTCTCGACGATGCCGACACGAAGATTCATCTGGCCAGCAGGGTCCACATTACCGTGTGGGCAGGCGTACGCACGAATACCCTCACCTGATTTAGCTCGCCGGTCGAGTCGGTTACCGGGCTGTGGTCGATAGGCAGAGCCTAGCTTCGGGCAGCCAGATGTGAGAGTTCGGTTCCACCAAATGGACGCTAGGCGTAGTCTACACCTGCAAGTAAGTGGGCGACCTACTACGTCCGCCACGTGAACCCACCGCTGGAAACCCCTACATCCCAGTCAAACCTACGAGAGCAGGCATGGAAGGCATCGAAATTCATCAAGGAAATATTTTATTTTTCCTAAAGTAGGAAAATAAAGGTGTGAGTATAAAAATGGCACAGTGATCACCACTGTCCCGAATTGAGCACAGTCGGGTCGAATTTCTCTAACTCAATAAATGTAGTGATAAAACTCCACGTGAACATCGGCATAACTATATTATACTTGGAAAAGACGCATAATTCATATAACTACGTCTAAAACTCGCGTTCAAATTCTACCAATGGCTTTACAAAATTACAGTTATGGAGCATTAACATGCCCGAGGTGGTCAGTCAGGATGAATTCACATTTTTGTATATCTCACAGTCGCCGGTATCTACAACACATTATAAAGATTATATACCGACGCCTTGTGAGAGAGCCATCAAGATCAGATTAAGGATGAATTATTGCAGACTGATCCTCTCTAAGCAGGAGGGCAGAGCGATGTCGCAGTTGACAACCCGCGAACTCATCAAGTCAGCAAAATCACAAAACTTGCTACTCAGAACACCCCATCAAATGAGCAGTTTTTGTAGTCAAGCCATGATGGGGGGGAGGGAAAAATATGAGTGCAGAGGATGGTATTCGCAATAAGTTGAGTCCCACGCCGTCTCACGGTGGCGTGACTGCGTGCATCCTTGGCTGGAAATTGGGTCTCGCCTCTTGGCCGCGGGAACGGAGCCCGGGATAGCAGGGGGTATGTCAACGTGCCTGTTGATAGAGTTGTTGTCAGACACCCAGGTCTTCAACAGTTCTCGCCCTGTCTTATTGTTGGCCCGCGCTACTATCCGCGCGTTCGCGAAGTTGAATTCGTGGCTTTCCTCCAGGGTGTGAGTGATGAACTGAGACAACGGGTCGCCTCTCCGGACCGCCCGTTTGTGCTACGTTATTCGTGAGCTAAGAGCGATACCCACGCCGAGATCTCCAGCGATACGTTCCACCGCTTCGGACAGGTTCTTTATATATGGTAGAGGGTGCCAGAGTGTTAGCGGCTCCTCCATTTGTTCGCCGTGGGCGCGTGCGGAGGCAGCGGCTGACGAAGCTGTTCGGGTATCCATACTTTGACAGTTGGTCCCGAAGTTCTCGTACTCGTCCGTCTGCTACACTGCAGTGCGTTTTACCCCTTGGAAGAGTGTCCTAACACAGCTGAGCTTATGCACCATTTGGTGGTTACTGTGGTAGTTGATAATCTAAGACGTGTTAGTCGCCTTTCTGTACACCGTGGCATTGAGTTCGACGTTGGATGTGCGTGTGACGAGAAGGTCAAGGAAAGGCAGCTGTTCGGCATGCTCTCCTTCCCCTGTGAACTAAATGTCCGGAAAGATACCGTTGAGCAGGTTTGAAAGTCGGAGAGTCAGGAATTTGAACTGTTAAAGTTGAAGAGTGAAAGATGTTCAAGGATCCATCTTCATGAAAAAAGTAAGAAATAACAACACAAACAATTTAAGCAGTGAACTAAAAAGTCAGCTTCGCCTTGTGTTATTGCAAACAATTTAGTTGATTTTTGTGGCAGCCTCCCATCCTGTGGCAGCGTTGTTTTCTGCAGATTGAAATCACAACATAAATACTATCCACACAATTTAAGTAGCATTGATTTTAAAGGCATGATCTGATTTCACTCCAGAGGCAAGATGTGTCGCGTGGACGGGCGTCCCTCAAAAGATCATACAAATTGAATTACTGGCATAGTCACCGAGCGATGAGCATCAGGCACACCAAAGGTACCACAAGGAGGATATTTTCAGTGCTTAATCCATTCTTAACGCGGAGGATTTACAAATGCACGGCGGCCACCAGTCAGAATGCGACGTCGATGTTTAACCCAAGAGGTAGACTCAGAGAGTCCGTTAAAAAAATCTAGTTTGAGCATACAGGTGGTGACTTAAGTTAATGGGGCTGGTTGCTTGTCACCTAAAGGTGTCACCGGGGACAGCGTAGGCAATATCGAGCATCGGAGCCAATCGACAAGCAAGTGCAATTGCATACGGCGGTTTGCGCCCTTCGCCACGCCGGCGGAGCCCATCTGCCAGGCTCGTTGAAACATCATTACCCCTAGCAAATACCCTAGCTTACAGCGAGCTCGCTTGATGTTAAGGTTGACATGCGCTTGGAGCGAGATAAGCAGTGACAAAACAAGGAGGCGACAAAAAAATTTGCTCGGTTTTTCCGCCTACGCGTCCTAAATTCTCCAGCATATTTCAGTGTTCAAATACTAAGCGTGTTTTGTAAATCTTGTGTCGTTTCATGGCGCAACTACAAGAAGATGGGTCCATCAGTAGGCCTTCCCCCAGCGTCCTCCATGTGCTTTCTGTTATGTAAGCTTCAGTTTCGATGATGCCTTGATACTATGTAAAACAACTTAGTATTTGTATACTACTGATTGAACGTTGGCAGCTCGTTAATACTGCGCGGTTATTCCGCTGTAGCTGAAGGATTTCGTCCCCAATATGCACATGTAAATATCCTAAACAAGAATAAAAAGCTCTGGTCCGAAGGATTTACCTCATGCTCGCGCAATGATTTCCATGGTAGTTAAAAAAGGCAACACATATAAGTATCTATTGGCGACATCGAGAGTCTGTTTTGAGCAGGCGGTGTGAATGTGTGTTCTGTGAGCTACAATTATCAAGTCAAATCTCAGGTTGGAAGGAGAGGGCAGATAACACCATAATGAGGGATTTCATGCATACAAATGCTGGAGTTGTCCTCCGGCGAAGCTAGGGCTGATGTTGACTGCGTCCAGTCATGCCTGAGAGTCCCTGAGACAGTGGTGGCAGCCGCTTTTGTAGGCTCGTGGGCCAAGCTCAAGTGGTGGTCAATCAGTGTGTGTTGCATTTGCCGAGGGGTGGTGTCCCAGTGGCTTAGGTTGCGGTCGCAGGGGGGGAGGTGCGTTCAAGTGGCCGCATGGGTAGCTGCGGCTGTGTGGACGCAGGTATGCCCGAACTGTCGGTCGCGTGACTTCAGGTCAGCGCGTCTGGAGGGTGAATGACCTTGAGGCAGTGAGGTCTTTAACAATGACGCCAAACTGGTCATGATGGCTGGCCGCTACAAGTCCAAAGACAGCACATGTAGACATAGTATTGGGTAGACTGCAGTTGGGACGCGTCGTTGTCACCATATTGTTCAGATGGTTTCGACAGCGTTTTTACTGGACTAATGGTGATTTTTTCGTAAGTAGATGTGTCCATGGAAAAAGAAGATACTTAGTGTGCTCCGCTGGTTGCTCCTGCCGAAAGACCTCCAGAAACGTCGACTGGTGGCCGACACGATCTGTTGGCTGTACGGGAGACGGTTCAGTTGGAAATACCACCCTGGCACAGCACACCGAAACTCTTGAAGCAACAAAAGTCGGCCTGGAGTGCCTGGGCATCGATCCCAGTACCTCTCGCATGCTAAGCGAGCGCTCTACCATCTGAGCTAGCACCCCGACACCGGCAAAAGGCCTTAAAATGAATATAACACCACATCACCACGGTCTTCTGTTTATTGCACAGTCCGGACCTACAGATGCGCATAAATTTCAGCTGCTTTTCATGATACCATGTCAAGAGACCGCAGCGAAATGGATTTTACCATGCCTAAAATTTTATGGCGTAAGCTTGTTAATTCTATGGTAAATTTAAGTAGTAGGCAATTTGGAAGGAGTCGGTATGTCTCGAAGGGTAACGATAAGTAGGTTCGCATCGTAGCACCGTTTGCGAAAATGGCGCCCCCGGGTGGGCTCGAACCACCAACCTTTCGGTTAACAGCCGAACGCGCTAACCGATTGCGCCACGGAGGCACGTCCTGGCTGCTCTAAATTAGTCTCCAACTTCTTTACTTGTGCTGCCTATTCAACTTCATGTGCAAATGCATCTCGGTTTACGCCTTGTGTGACTACCTTGAAAGTCAACTTAAATCAATGGCAGGAAGTCCATCTTTCCAACAGACTACTCTAAAGTGACTCTGCTGTGGCAAAGACTGCAACGGAAACGGAACAACGAGTAATAAAGTAAGCAAAACGGTGAGAATAATCTCATCAGAAATAAATACAAACGGATAACATTGCGATTTTAGTTCTCCTATGGAAATTCGCTCGCTTGGAATTGATGACCGGAGATGTCGACGTATCCTTGCCAACACCAGCCCCACCTAGCGCCTTCTAGCCGGTGAAAACTGCAGTTTCGCGGTTATTCATGAATGAATTTTTGGGAATAAATTCAATCAGTTTTTTTGCATTCCCGGCGATCTCCTCGTATGGACCACCGATGTCGCTGTATGCCCAGAACTGCACTTATATGTCGTCGGATATCCGACGACATAATAAATGCTATTAATAAATTGCATGCTATTTTGTCATAAACTACTCCTCATGCATTAGGTGTTGTATCACTTAAATTATCAATTGACATTCGTAAATGATTCCTATTCTGGAAAAGGTTTATTTAAACAAGTTTTCAGTACTGATTTTCGGTAAGTGAGATCGCTTAGGCATCATATTTCTTCGTTTTGGCTTCCTGCTGGGGTAAGTTCCTATTTCGTAGCCGCACCTGTTAGGGCTTAGGGTTAGGGATTACGGTTAGAGTTAGCGAACAGTGGTTAGGTTTAGGGGTCAGAGTTTGGGGTTAGGGTTAGGGGTCAGGGGTTAGTGTTAGGCGTTGGGAAGTTAGTGTTAAGCCCCCCTGCCAACACATGGCCCCGGGGGCCAGACGGGGCTAGACGGGGCTAGGTCCCGTCCAAATTTCCATCCTTTCTAATCACGTCATTCTGCATTAATTTGGACTGTTTGAGCTTTATTATCGTGAAATATAAGCCTTTTAACTTGTTTACTGTGGTTTCAGTCGTATAACATCGAGAGAAATTCATGTTTCACGAAGGCCAATATTGGCCTTGTTTAAGTCGGTCATGTACCTACCCACGTGGACGGCACTTTTACGCTGACAGTGTGCACACCTGATCCATACAGCTGCTTGACTCCTGATTCTTCCTTGGCTCTTTTTGACTGCAGTACGTTATTCATTTACTTATTTATTTCGTCTATGCGATGCAATATGTCATTGTAATAAGTAAATGCTTTATTTTAGTCTCCAGAATCGTAATTTAAGTTATTTATAAGAATGGCACGTAATCTGACGGCTTGAGTGTACTATATAGCGGTCTAATATATGTTAATGGTATTTATATGTTAATTCTAAGCAAATATGGAAAGAAAATACTGGGGACTTCATCGCAGTACAATGCACAACATGACTAAGCGGGCGAAGATGGCGTACTATGCCGCCACCGATGACCCCCCGCTCCCATCTACGTCATCCCTCGTAACTGAGTCGTCCCCCGAACCATCGATGCCGCACCTTAGCTCTGAAGTGAGCATTGGTAGGTGTTCTATGGTATGCTATAAGACGGTGTAGACGATGACCAGGTTGCAGATGACAGCTCGAACCCGTTCAGTGGCAATTGCTTCTTGACAGATTTGAGGGAATTCTGCTTAAGTGTCCAACTACCGCAGGCAACATTCAAGTTGTTGTTCCAATTTTTGCGGAAATACCACCCAGAGGTGCCCAAGGACCCGCGAACTCTCATGCAGACACCGCAAGCATGCGTTACTGAGTCCCTCTCTAACGGCAGCTACGTCCACCTGGGCCTTAAACGCGGTCTGTTAGATGAGCTTCAACTTCGACTGTCGGCTTTGTTCCCGAAAATACGGGTTCAACTCCACATTGACGGAATTAAGCTATTTAAAGGGTCTGGCCAGTGTCTATGGCCAATCCTCGGTCGAGTCAGCTATCCTGTCCGTGGACTGCCGTTTGTTGTTGGGGGCCCCTGTTACCCCCAGTCCCGTATGATAGGCGCAATGTTATCCGTTTGTATTTATTTCTAGTGAGATAGGCGCTAGGTAGGGCTGGTGTTGGCAAGGATACGTCGACATCTCCGGTCATCAATTCCAAGCGAGCGAATTTCCATAGGAGAACTAAAATCGCAATGTTATCCGTTTGTATTTATTTCTGACTAGCCGGAGCCCGCCACGCGTTGCTGTGGCTCAATCTGATGAATTGGGGCGTAAGGGAAAGAGGAAGGA